GTCTTATAAGTCACAAATGTCTACATGTGATAATATGTATAATTCTAGGGTAAGTGTACGGTTTCTATAATTACGACACGTTTCGGCCACTTTCTTGCCATCATCAGGTAGCACTTGTACAGTCCCTCTCAGTGTTTGCAATGCAGAGGTCTACATTATATAAACGTGTGTCCTGGTGTTCCGAAGGGCGCGCTACTCGCAAGCCCATTTCAATTTTGCATCATCCATAAATGTGTTTTTGTATAGCTACTTTGGTTTCAAGTGAATGAAAATAGATAAGATAAGCTTGAACTAGTTACAATTAGAGCAATACTGGTCACTTATTCTTGTTGTTATTGCAGTTTTTATATATATTTGGGCATGCAGTCCTGGGTCCTAGCCGAGCACGGCAGAACCGGCTTCCATTTCGGTGCGTGCATTCCCGCGGCGTGATTCTCATTTTGTCCTGAGGCTGGGTTCACGGTGCATGGCATCACGTAAGAGCGTAGGGAACCAAAATTGCAGATTGACGCGGCTGAGGAGCCGGCTTACTGACACGCAAGGAAGGAACATCCCAGATCACTGGCCTGCGCCAAGCTGTGTCACGTGTACGCACACTGATCGATACACTTATCAAGTGGAAACATGCACTCATTTCCGCAAAGTGTTTACTGGCAGAGACATCCGCCTAGCAGTCAGACATGAAACAGGAACAGTATTCCTGCTTTGGAAGTTCCCAGGAGAGAAGGTAAAGCGTTGGGAAGTGGACGCTGTTGTGAGGGGAGGTGGCTGCGTGTGCGACCCGGAATCTGGGTACCGACTCAGCATTTGCTGTAGGCTCGAGGAAAACCACTGGAAACCTTGATCGCGATGGCCGGTCGCAGGACCTTCCGGATGCAAACGCGCGAACCCTAACCTTAGTCCCTGTCTGTGTTGTTGCTTTAGTTATTTTTGTATCAAAACGTTTACTGATGTGTCCTAGAAACGTTGTGTAGTGTCCATGTTTGGGGTGAGCAGGAAACAACTTTCGGTAGTGTAAGGAGAAGCGTGTAATAAAATTGTATACGTACTGTAGTTTTTAGAAATATATCGACAGCATGAACCGCAGACAGATCACTACAGCAGCCGCTAAGTCTTTTCCAGTCTGCTGTTCTTTAATCAGTCGTTGCTTGGCAACGGCTTTAACCGTCGAGATTCTTCAGCTTCCCGTGCTCAGGTCCTCTTGTCAGTTCCCTCAATGCCAGCTGTAAACTAACCACTCCTGATCTCGACTGACCGTTTACATTGTTATAGTCCAACAATACCTCGATCGTTGCATGCATATCCGTTGCCTCGGGAACCCGTTCACCGAGCCGTTGCCTAGCGATAGCTCGGGTATATTTGACAAGCTTACTGACCGTTACAAAGCAACGCATGTTCCTTCTCGCAACCGTTGCATAGCAGCAGCTACACACGCTACGATATACACGTATTGTCAAATGCGGTGCGTGTATCTCGCGACTTTCCCGGCGGTTTCTTTCCGCGGGAATTTCGACTTCGCTGGAAGTGTGTGTGTGTGGGGGGGGGGGGGGGGGGGTTTGGCAGCCTTGTATGGTGCATTGACCCTGACGATGATCTCCGTATCTAATCTGGGCGGGGTATAAAATCTTCGGCCTCAATCCGTCAATTCCTTATTTATGTTCATTATGACATAGCCGGACAGTGTTGCTCGTTTTCGCTGCTAGGGGGCAGCCCGCCCCGGTCTCACAAGTCCGTGGTAGCAACGTATCAACTGCCGCAACCTGTAGTTCTGTGTAAACAGTGCTCTAAGGCTTCAGGCAGACACAAAAAGTTCTCAAGAGAGAATCCTTCTCAGAATTACTGGGTTTCTGGACTTTTTCCGTCGTCCGGTATTCTAGAGACTAGAAAACACGACGTTTCGGAAACTGGATGTGTTTCCGTCCTCAGATGAGGGTGGGGAGAGACACCTACTCAGTTGGGCCCCTTAGAAAGAACTAACCTCAATCACTGCACTGGACTGAACCGAAGCGCTGTGTTCTCTAGGTTCTAGAACGCCGGACGATGGACAGAGTCCAAAACCCCCGTAATCCTGAGTGTTATAATCCTTCTGTTTTGTGTCAGTGAGGTGCACAGTTCGAATCTCGCCGGGGACACCAACTATCCTGATGTTACATGATTTTCTTCAGTCTCTCCAGATGAAAGCTGGCAAAATACCCTCATTCCGGCAACGACATTTCCTTCCAGTTACTTCCAAACACACCACGTGTTCACGTGTTATCGTAGGATCATTCGACAGTTATAAGATCTCATATACAAACAGCGTCGTTAAATAAATAAACCGCTCGGTGGAGTCCGTCTTGAGAAGGCAACATCGCTCGGCGCTTGGTTTAAACATTGCTCTCGTTCTTGGAGGAACCAGAAATATCTTCACTCAGTCGACAGGCGGTGAGCTCATGGTCAGGACTATGAACCTGATGTCTCATAAACATTTATATTGTGACATGTAGACCCTTTGCCAAGTAACAGCTGCCTAAACAGGCGACAGTACACAGCCGTTGCTAGGGAACAGCTCTGTGGACACGGAGTTTCTCCGGCAACGGACGAATACGCAATAGCGGAAGCGGTATTTTCTGTGCGGTCCGTGCCAAGGCTATATAACGAGGCCCAGCTGCCATTAAGAGAGTCTTGAGATGACAGAAGAGTAGGTTTGCGTGATGCAGCCGCCAGCCTGCGAGGACGTGAGCCCGGAAGCAGAGGAACGTCCACTGTCGGAAGCCGCTACCAAGCAGCGCAGTGAAGTGTGTGTGTGTGTGTGACAGTGATTTGTAAAGTGCACCAAGTCACGAGTTGTGTTAAAAGTGTCGAATAAATCCGATTACCAATGTAACCTCTTCTGTAGTCACTCAGTCACGTGATAATATTCTGGTATCTCATTATGCCACAGTACAGTCAGGTAGGACGGTACGAAAGTGGAAGTTCCCCCTACTACCGGACTCAGAAGACCACAGTATAAAGGGAATGTCTCCCTAGTGCCTAACTGTTATATTATTAAAACGTGTACGAGTGTGGAGGTAAAGCTCCAAGCATTTGTAACCTCAGAACAGATTAACGTGGGCGTGGTGGTAAGGGGGAAGGTTTTTGCCTCCACCGGAATCAAACCCCGGTCATGCGGCGCAGTCAGCGGCACGATAGGAGCCGGGGTTCCGATGCTTGTAGCTCGGGAACCACTTCGTCATCGCTAGTCGGTAGTCTGTTGTCTTGTTTGCATCCAAGGTCAGAGGTCAGTGCCCTCCAGACAGATCTGTTTGTGTATATCCATGGATTCATTGGCTGACACTTGGTACGGGCTTGTGTCAGTGTCGCGAGGGAACTGTTTTGTCTGCGCAAAGCAAGGCCCTGCATGGAGCAGGAGTATTATCTGCTTGTGGGACACACTGTGCCCGTCCAGTCAGTTCCCTATGTCAATCCGGTCATGCAGTCACGAATTGTTCACTGTTCCACTCGTATACGCGGTCGCCACGAAACGTCCTAAGAAATGCAATTCCCCCCACGATGATCCTCTTCGTCGGCGTGGAAGGGTCAAATGAACTTTCAAGAAATCTGATATTGGAAGGCGGCTCTGCGGATTCTTCTGCACAACTTCCATCTCGGTTAAATCGGCGACAACAGCGGACGCTTCACATGAGGACCGACGCGCATCTCAGCCGTAACTCACTAAATGTCCAAAATGTAAGGGGCACGCTCTAGCGCAGCTGGTTGACGCACTAGGCTACAAGCTGGAAGGTCGCAGGTTCGATTCCCGATGAGGGCATAGGAAACTTTCGATTCGCTTAAGTCTTCCAGCCGCACTATGGCCCTGGGGTCGACTGAGCCTCTAACAGAAATGAGTACCAGGAATCTTCCTGGGGGTAAAGGGCTGCCGACGCGTAAGGTTGACAACCTCACCGCCATCTGTGAGCCGACTGTCTAGGAAATGTGGAAGCCTCGACGTCTCACAACCCTATGGGCCTCCACGGCCTGTTACAGGGATAGCTTTACCTTTTACCTTACGAAAATTGCAGAGAAAAATGAAACACATACCGTCTGCTGAGAATAATTTTTCCTCGATTTTGGAAATAATTAAACAAAGGTGATGATATACACCAGACTTGTTACACCGTGTTTTGGTTTCAGTTTCCGGTAGTATTCAGGCAAACAGGGAGCGAGTCTGCTGAAAGAGTTCTGTATAGTGTGAAGACAAACGTGAGAAACTGCACATCCCTTGAGCAGGGGAAAGTAACACGCACAAGAACATTTTAAGTCTACGTCTGAAACCAGAATAATTACCGTCCATGCATCTCTTTATTACAGTGACGAAGCCATTCTTATGTTACAGTAAACCCTCGCTAATTCAGATCGAAATATGAAAATCGCTGTTGACAGTTGAGTACACCTTCAAAAGGCACGTGGCATTTAGGGAGGCAGATGAGCCACTTGTCTGTTCAGACACAACTTGACAGTTTCTTCAGACCTGCATAATTACGTTCAGAAACAAGTACAGCTTCTGAATGAATATAATTGCCTTTTTATAGTTTTCAAATAGAGGCTCTACACTGATATTTTTCATTATTTATTTTCATCAACACTACTTATATCATTAATTTCTTCATTTATTTGTGTTCTAAGTTTTTTGTCTTTTTGCTATAGTAATCCGAATTATCGCTAATCCGGCCGACCTCTCTTCCCCACTTAGTCCGGATTAGCGAGAGTTTACTCCATATCTGTTGCTTAGATGGTATCCTGGCAAATGCCTGCATAGTTTAGCCACTGTTGTGGATGGCCACGATTAACTCGAACGGATCTGTAGTCCCGTTTGTTTGTTGAATGAATCTCACATATTGTTTGCCGATGTTGGATATACACGTATGTATCGGGCAATAGCGCACGGGGTAAAGGCAGGAAAGTGGACTCCTTATATTGATTTGTTAATATTAAATTTTGTCGTTTAGGTGCTGTTGCAGATAAGGAGACAATATTTCAGTTTATAAATATTATTATATATTGTACACTCTACATGTGACACTAAGATATGGTTACTGGAGGAACATTCTGTACATATGAATCACAAATACTCGCTATACATAATGTCCAACCAAAACGTATTCAGCCTCAGTATTTGGTATGTTGTAAAAAAATAGCCTTTCTTCGAAATTCTAACGCAAAACCTACATTACAGTGTGATGTCTAGTCGGTGGATATTTTAAGTCACATTCGTGATATGCAGAATTACGTTTTGAGTGGACACTCTGTGTTTAATAATATGAGGAAAGATAAACTAAAGTTTTCTCTGTGTCGAGGTAAAAAGCAGTGCTGAATTCTCATATGAGGGGGTGTCTTTGTCTGTTCACACACACACACTCACGGCACACAAGCATTCTTGGGGTTCAGGCAGCCTCTTACAAGTTTTGGTGTATTTGTACCATGTTGATACACTTTGCTGTCTCTCTGCAAGCAAGTCTCCACCGTCCACAGCTTCATCAGTCCGCTCTGACTTAAACATGGCAATTGTTTCGGATATGGCCATCGTCTTTGAGTTATTTCACACGACGTTTCGGGAAATGTATCTGTTACAGTTACCAGGTGTCGGGGAGGAAAGTTCCTGCGCTATTCTCAGACCAAAAGCAGTTCTAGGCAGAATAATACGGCATCAGCGGGAGATAACAGAAAAGATGCCAGTAAGAAACGTGGAAAGCATCACAGGATGACGAAACTGAAACCTCCCTGCAGGCGGGGCTAAAATCCATTCTACGGTCAATAAAAACAATGACCCCTCCCCCTCCAGTCGGCAATAATGAAATGGGGATGGATACATGGGAAACCCTTATCTCTATTTCTGTTCAGTATTATTCCACTGGGACCAGTCTGGGTGTGCCGAGTGCACCTGTGTCTGGTTGCAGGGTTGTCCTGACTGAGGGAAGTGTACGAGGGAGAGTCGATAAACACGTCACAGGTGGATATAAAACGCAAAACACGCGATATTCGAACCTGGAGAAAGAAAAACATTTATTTCTCGCGATATCCTCCACCAACATTGATACACTTGTCCCATCGCTTTACCAGTGCGTCGAAACCCACAGCATAGAAGCCTTTTGACTGTTGCCTCAGCCACTTCCTCACCTGGCTGGGCATCATCGTCCTTGAGAGAATTTTTCGACCCAGTTGTGAACCGCTTTACGCGACAAACACTTCCCACCGTAAACAGGAAACATTTCTTTATGAATATCCTTTGCATTGATTCCTTTTTCCCACACGAGAACTCTGCTCTTTGGTAGTACAATCCTCAAGCACGGTCGCCACTTTGACTACTGAAACAAGCCGCTGAACATGCGAATGCGCATGTGCCACCTAGGCTCGCATTAAGCCGGACTGTGCTGCTACCTAGTGATACAGTTAGGAAACCTATTACCTCCATTACAGCTGTGTGACGTATTTACTGACTCTCCCTCATATGCTAGTGGGTTCGGAACCTAACATGCTGCAGCTCTCTTCTGTAAGACATCCCGTTACGCAACAAACCCATGTTATGTGCTGTCTTCTGCGCGGTTCGGTCGGGACACTTCTCAAACGTGGACGGGAACGTTCCTGAGGTGTGGGCCGCTTACAGAGGACGGTGTCCCAGGCGACAGCGGTTCGAGATGACGCATCTATGCGTCCCTCAGCCACACCTCAATGGGGATCTTGAGGAAGGCGGCGTTCAGGAACTCCCTGAAGTACCGGGCAATGGTCTGCGACGCTGCAGGCTTCATCTCCTTGATGATCTCCTCAGCATTTTGGTTCAGGAACTGGTTCATGGCCTCACCTGAACACACAGAGCGCGGGGTCAGTCCTAGAGGCGTTTTCTTTTTATACACGTCGGCCTACCTGACGGATTCCTGGTTCACTGCAGTTTGTGGCATCTGGGAGGTCCTGGGATCGTGGGGTTTATTAGCTCCCACAGGCAAATTGCGCAACATTTCAGGCAACCTCGCTCACTTTGTTCAGTTATTCCGGAAACCAGAAACTGACAATAAAAGCGTGCCGGACGTAAAACACGTCTTTCACTTCATTCTACAAATTTTGTTTGAAATATTTTTCTCTCCGATAAACGTTTACCGAGTTACACTCGAGATGCGCGCGCAGAAACACTCCCAGGTCTCCATGTGGAGTGTCCGGTATTGTCCTCTGCTTCAAACCAGGTTTGGAACGTAATTACGAATTTTAGTACACCATCAGTATCGAGTTTCGTGAAAATCCATTCAGTGGTCCTTGGATTGTTACATGCCGACAGAAGTACAGTCATGACAAAACAAGAAAACGCATTTCTGTTACAAACACGCGAAGAGGCGTTGCTCTGTTCCACCCAGCGATACGCAATTCACTCGCTCGCAGATCCAGAAGAATATACACGTACAAAGCAGGCTAAGAACTTCTTGAAAACAACGGTAACAAATTATCAGCGACATAAAAGAATAAATTGTTAATTGAAAGAATTGAACACCAATAAACCGGCATTAAGATTTTTGTGGCGGTGAAGATTCATATTGTGATGGTCTGTTGTTATTATTATTATTTTATGATTCATTTAACGACATACTCAGTAACTGAGACCATATAGCGTGGAATTGTAGGATCATTACTGAAGGAAAAATTTGAAGATATATGGAAGGAAGAGGTCGTGGCCTATTGCGAGATGTCTGGGAATTTCTGTGAAGTGACTGAAGAAAACCTCTAAAAGTCTATGAGAATAATCGTCGTCCAGGCCGAGGTTCGAAACGGACGCCTTCCGAATTGTAGTCGACAGCGTTACCGATCGGGGTAACACTGCCTCCATCTTCAGGGTATGAGACAAGAATTGAGTGGAGAAGTCAGCAGTGCCACGACTGAGGTACAGTCGGTGGCGATGAGGTCTCTGCAGAGGAGAAAGGCGCCTCAGGCGGCCTGGGCCGACGTCTCACACATTGGCTTACCCAGAATGTTTCCGTCGTTGATGTAGTCGCGGATCCTGAAGCGGGACTTCCCCAGGGTGAAGTCGACCAGGAGCTTCTCCGTCCTCATGTACCGCTTGCCGTCCTCCAGTGTCACCTCCTTGCCCACAATCTTGGTCACCGCGGAGATGTTGTCTGCAAGCAGACACACAGCGACATGCGGGTTCTCAGAAATGCATGTTAACTCCTGCCGTTCCCAGCGCATGACTTCTGGGGGGAGGGGTCGCGGTGTCACACACTTTGAGGGCCCCTGGCATTCTAATGCCCTATGCCGTGCGCCCAATTATACGCATATACAGTCACTCCATGGACTGACTATAGACGAGTTTGGGGCTCATGACACAGGGCATGATTTCACATACACACAGTCACGCCTTCCCTAGCCGTTGCTTGGTAACGGCTTTCGACGGCGGACTTCCCATTCCTCTGGGTTCCCGCACTGTCCCATGTCTCAGTCACCAGCTTGTAACAGCAACAGCCCACAGCGGCTGATCGCCAGCAGTTCTCTGACTCACTAACTCACCAACCAACCAACTTACTGTCTGCTTATAGCATCTCGGCATAGACCTCATAGAAAATACTGTTCCTCTGTTACAGCGCAATTTTTCTGTAGAAACATGATTGTTTGCGGAGCCGTTACTTAGCAACGGCCGTTGTATATTTTCATTTTTCGTGGTCGTTGCCTAACAACGGGTCTACATACACTTCGCATGATTATCTCGCAGTAAACAGCAATTGATTTCCTAAAGAGCCCGAAATGCTGCGTGTATAACCCCATGTATTCGTTTTATATCCGCGTGTCTTATTGCCTACACATGGTTTTCCTCAGTCTCCCAGGCAAATGCCGCTATGATACCTGAAATTGTATGTCGCGATCGCTTCCTTTCCAGTTATTTTCAATCCAGTGTGACGCATCATGTCAGCTGAGTTACCGGCAGCGTTTCCAACTATATTAAAGCAGTGGTTTACAATGTGTGAGGCGCCCTACCCCCAGGGAGGGCTGCGGGATATTTTTGGAAAGCTATGTTACTAAGTCTAATTGGTTATAAGTCTCGAAATGTCTAAGATCGACTGCTTGATCCGTGCATGTGCAAACTACTGATACAGATTAATTCATAAAAACTAATTTTTTCTTTAATTTACAAATAAAAAATAAAAAGAGCTGAAGAGTTCCGTCTTGAGGAATGTGACGCCGTGTAGTCTGTTGGAATTCGACCGAGCTCACGGCGTTATGTCCCGGAAGAGTCACCGCTGTGACAGTCTCAAATCCTGTTCCTTACGAGCGCCCAACGTTATGAAGTCTAAACAACTGCGTTACAGTCGGCCCACGCAGCAACAAAGGGCACTGTATCCTGGAACGTGATGCAAAGTAGTCCGGTAGAAGTCCGCCCATGTCTCGGAGGAACCAACTGCTACTGGCATCCCCGCCAATGTGCGACAGACTGCGCCATACTGAAGTGAGGCCGCGCGGTACTTACAGAAGACGGCCCAGAATTCTCCTTTGCTGCGGACCGGGAACAGCAGGACGTTCCCCGCCACCTCGTACTTCCCCGTCGCCTCGATGCGTGGGAGGGACAGCCCAATGTCTATGCGGTACTTAGGAACGTCAGACCTGCAGCAAACCGAGCGGGACTTTACTCTTGTCGGCACAGGAACCGAACGAAATCCACAAATCGTTGTAACTGAAGTCTTCTGGGATGTAACGCCATGTAGCTCGGTAGGAGTCCACCGACGTTTCAGAGGAACGTACTGCCTCCATCCAAGGCAAACAAGAAGCAGGCGGCAAGAATACTTTCCCTCTAAACGTCGATGGACTTCTACCGGGGCCACAAGTGTGTACACCCAATGATAAACAATATTCATAGTCATCTCTGCGAGAGCGTGACGCCGTGTAGGCTGGTACATGGTTGCCGACGTTACACAGGGACACATTGCCTTCGGAGTAAAATCTACCTCTATGAAAGGGGCCGCGCCATAGCTCAAGCGGTTAGTCGCTGGCTTCCCACCGCGGCGACCCGGGTTCGATCCCGGGTCTGGTTAAGTGGGATTTGTGGTGGACAAAGTGGCGCTGGGGCGGGTTTTCTCCGAGTACTTCGGTTTCCCCTGCCAGTCTTCATTCCACCAAATTCTCCATCATCATAATCACCCGGGGCAGGCTACAATAGGCCAATCAGTGGCCGCCGTGCCGAGTGGACCCAGCTGAACTCCACCCCCGCACTAAGCGAAATTTAATTATTTTTTTTACCTTTATGAAATGTGAAGACTGAGGCGTGTGTTCCTACGAAACGATGGTAATCCTTACCAGACTAGACGATGTCATAGTTCAGAAAACCTCAGACACAATGACAAGACTGAAACACGGAGAAATGCAAGACTAGTGTTTAGAAAGTAAACCTACATGCAAGTCCCATATTTCTCAGTAGCGAAGGGAAAGGAAGGTCACGAAACTTTAAACGTCTGGCGCGAGTTGGAGAAAATCTTGGAAGGGCGGAATTCAGGGGAACCGTTGACGTCACGCATGTAGCACATGCCCATTATTAAATCGTAGAAAAACATTTTTTCTTCTTCAAATTAGTAACCCTTTAGACCAACGTAGTCTAGAAGTAACGTTCCCACCTCATGACACGTAGTACGCGGGTTCAAATACCCGGCGGAGGTCGTCGAATTTTTAAGGGCGGAAAAATTCACGGAACAAGTCCTCCGGGAGGGACTTTAAGCCGTGGGTCCCGTGTCGTAGCTTTACGGCACGTAAAAGAACCTCATATCTCCAAAGGAGGTCACTGAGCCAAATTAACGGACGTTTCCCGCCCAACAGCAGTCTCTAATACCTCTGGTAGATGGGGGAAGCATTATAGATACCTCTCAGCTAGTAGAGCCGGTCTCGCTGGCTGGGCGGGACTGATGGTAAGCACCAGTACCGTTAGGATATAGAGACTGGTAGAAATCATAGAGGGAAGCACAATGGACCAATACAGGTCTAAGTGCATGGGGAAACCCACCCTCTCCAATAACTAACTAACCCTTTAGACCACGTCGGTTACTCTGTGCACCGCCTGCTTTACCTTTACAAAACCCCGCATTCTGCCAGTACACTGTCCTTATGTGTTCCGCACGGCATTAACCGGTTGGTTTTGTAGCGGAGACAATGTGTTTCCTGCGAGGTACGGACTGAATCTTTGTATATTGTTTAGCCCTAAATCATATAAAGTTTCTCGGCGTAATCTTCGATAGGAGGCTTACACGGAGACTGACAGAAATTATTGAAGCCAAGGCTTTCGGAACATTTGTCAGAATCTGCTCCCTATTAAAAATGAGTGTGTAAGTGCCAACATTAAACTAACCTTTCATAAGGCACGACTCAGATCAGCAATGACTTACGCATGTTCCGCCTGCGAATTATCAGCAGACACCTGCCTCATAAAATTGCAGCGCCTGCAAAACAAGGTTCTCCCGACCACTGGAAATGTTCCAAGGTGCACACCGGTCTGCGATTTGCACACGACTTTCAACCTTCCGTATGTATACGATTATGTAAGAAAATTGTGCAGGCAACAACTAGAAATCACACAAAATCACGAGAATGCACATGTTCGCGAAATAGGACAAGGCGAAGCCAGACACAGAAAATATAAGAGGCTTAAACTTGGCGGTGGTCAAGCTTACGACCGTTGTAGCATAAGATACGCAAGCTATGCACGATCTGCTTTGCAGAGCCTGTACTGAGAGAGGACTCGTATATAGTGCAAAAGGAAGCATTTCCAGTAACACGCTATATGTGCGAAATGTACACTCGATGAAACGCCAAGCCTATTCATAAGAGACAAACCCATCTTCTCGTCAGAGAGGATGTTACTTAAGGACTATTACAGCAACGGTTCGGTTGAAAATAAAATTGCTGGTCGTGGGTCTCAAGGGGCTTGTCGCCAAGACGAACTGTTTGGCGGTAAGCCGCCAGTGACTCTGACCTTTCAGAAGGTGCTAAGGCACTTCAGGATGTTTAATGCAGTTGCAAAGAACGCCTTAGTGTTCATCTTGCCTTTTTCAACAAGCACGAAGTCCTCACGGCCGGCTGAGCAGTTAACTCATCGGATTCGGATTTTGGCCGGGGCATCGCCCAGACCTCACAGACAATGAGTTAGTGCACGTATTTCTGACTACTTCCGTAAAAAGGTAGCGTAAAGTTGTCCCTGTGCTTAACTAATTAAGCACTACACCGTAAAGGCGTATGGGGGAGCGTATTTATAGATCCGCATTTTCCTGACCTCTGCAATAATTGGAGGTGAGTGATCAGCTTTACGCCCCGGCTACTTTACCTCCGGGGAAGAGCCCCCTGTACCCATTGGATAGGAGGTTGGGTGGACCTCAGAGCCGCTCTGGACGACGTGGAGAAGAGAAAACTCTTTCCCCTACCGGGATTCGAACTCCGACCCCTTGAGCGTCCAGCCCGTAGCCAGTCGCTATCCCGGTTCCTCCCTTCCTTCCACATCCAGTTTTTCTGAGCTACTGACATCGTGGGGGCGGCGCCACAGCTCAGGTGGTCAGTTCCCGGCTTCGAACCCAGGTCAGAACATGTGGGATTTGTGGTGGACAAAGTGCTCCTGGGGCATGTTTCCTGCGAGTATTTCGGTTTCCCCTTCCAATTCTCATTCCACCGACTGCTGCACACTCATCATCTATGATCCGGGGCTGGACCAGTAGGCAAGTCAAGTGGACTCAGTCTCACACCACCCCAAGAAACTAAAACGAAAACTGCTGACATCGTCGTTAAAGAAACTATTGAAACAAACGCCACGGTGAGCGGCGTCCTGGAGAGCAGCTGTCGTGTCAGAGGTTTTCGCGACTTTCCTCAGTGCACCCATGCACTTATTGGGGCCTGTAACAGGCCGTGGATGCCCATATAGTTGTGAGACGTCGAAGCTCCCAGTTCCTAGACAATCGGTTCACAGATGGCGGTGAGCTTGTCAGTTTTACGCGCCACCCTACCCCCCTTTACCCCCAGAAAGATTCCTGCTACTCATTTCTGTTAGAGGGTGAGTCGACTCCACGGCCATAATGCGGCAAGGAGGATTACGTTAATTGAAAAAACCCAATAACCTCATCAGGATTCGCATCCGCGACCTTCCGACTTGTAGCATAATGCTTGAGACAAACTACGCTACCGCGTGCCAGTCATGCATATATTAGGATAGTACCTTAAATTAGGCCACGGCCACTTCCACAGCAAGAGCCGACATGCAGATGAGTATGAATACGTACTTTATCCACGTGATGGTATAGTTGCTGCCTCCGCGGATGGTCATGTTGTTGAACGTCGCCCTCACGCGAACGGCCCCATTGCCGTTCTCCATCGCAAGTCGCGGGATGACCAGGGGCTCCATCGGGGGCACAGACAGCTCGGGTATACCTGCAGTGGTGAATGAGATCAGACTCAGGACAGCTGTCATTCAAAGTGACCGGCCTTTCTCGAGTGCAGTCAGAAGCACACGTCACAGGACACAGCTCCTCCCCACTGACGTGTAACAGCCGGAAAGTGAAAGTAATGTTGTCCCCCTGCTTAATTAGGTAAGCACCACGCCATCAAGACGTATGGGGGAGTGGAGGTATAATTCCAACGTTCTTGACCTCAGCACCAGATGGAGGTTAATGGTCAGCTTCACGCCCCTGCCGCTTTACCCCCCAGTACCCATTGGATACGAGGTTAGGTGGACCTCAGAGCCGGTCTGCGCGCTGTGGAGAAGAAGAGAATATTATTTCTTGCCGGGAATTGAACTCCGGCCGTCCAGCCTGCAGGCCGTCGCAGAGGCGCTGGCTTTCGTCAGTTATGGTAGAATGTGCCCTGAAGAAACTTCTGCCTCCGTCTTCAGGGCAGAATCCACCATGCATATCAGAACTGTTTACATGACTCCCATTTTGGTTTTACCCGCATTATTTTCAGTAAACTGTTTCACTTGCACCTGCACTCGCGTTTATGTTCAGCTGACTCGGGATGGGTGCCCATCACGGAGGAATGAACTGTTCGCCCGCTCGAGCACTGGGCTCGTGGGTTCGAGTCCCACTCGAGACATGGATGTGTGTGTTGTCCTGCCTTCCGACGGGCTGATATCCCGTCTGTGTATAGGATTACAAAACTGAAGAAGATGTCAGGGCCGAACAAAGAATGAACTCTTGACCAGTGTGATACAAAACTGTGAGTAATAGAATGAAAATTCTGCACGATTCTCGGTGTTCGGCCACGAATAGTGACGTCACAGTATCTGTATTCAGAATGCAGCAGAATTTGTTCTGATGGCCTGGAGTCCCCGCCCCCTAACAGGAGAACGCAATGCAGACGGCGTCAGTTCACGAAGCAAGTTTGTACAAAGGTTTTGCGACGTCAGTGGCTGCTTACCCGCCGCGATGTAGGGCCGCAAGTGTGTGAAGCCCCTCTTGATGCAGGCGTTGATGTTGGGGTCGGTCCGGTTGCACGGCAGGATGTATGAGGCTGAAACACACAGACACACCCTGTACCAGCTCAATCCGCGCAGTTGGAGAGGAGTGCACTAATCCCCCGCTAATCCGGAGTAGCTGGGGGAGGGGAAGGGGCCACGCGCATTAGGGAAGCAAACCGTAGGGCTGAGACACACAGACACTCCCTGTGCCAGCTCCATCCGCGCAGTTAGAGAGGAGTGCACTAATCCCCCGCTAATCCGGAGTAGCTGGGGGAGGGGAAGGGGCCACGCGCATTAGGGAAGCAAACCGTAGGGCTGAGACACACAGACACTCCCTGTGCCAGCTCCATCCGCGCAGTTAGAGAGGAGTGCACTAATCCCCCGCTAATCCGGAGTAGCTGGGGGAGGGGAAGGGGCCACGCGCATTAGGGAAGCAAACCGTAGGGCTGAGACACACAGACACTCCCTGTGCCAGCTCCATCCGCGCAGTTAGAGAGGAGTGCACTAATCCCCCGCTAATCCGGAGTAGCTGGGGGAGGGGAAGGGGCCACGCGCATTAGGGAAGCAAACCGTAGGGCTGAGACACACAGACACTCCCTGTGCCAGCTCCATCCGCGCAGTTAGAGAGGAGTGCACTAATCCCCCGCTAATCCGGAGTAGCTGGGGGAGGGGAAGGGGCCACGCGCATTAGGGAAGCAAACCGTAGGGCTGAGACACACAGACACTCCCTGTGCCAGCTCCATCCGCGCAGTTAGAGAGGAGTGCACTAATCCCCCGCTAATCCGGAGTAGCTGGGGGAGGGGAAGGGGCCACGCGCATTAGGGAAGCAAACCGTAGGGCTGAGACACACAGACACTCCCTGTGCCAGCTCCATCCGCGCAGTTAGAGAGGAGTGCACTAATCCCCCGCTAATCCGGAGTAGCTGGGGGAGGGGAAGGGGCCACGCGCATTAGGGAAGCAAACCGTAGGGCTGAGACACACAGACACTCCCTGTGCCAGCTCCATCCGCGCAGTTAGAGAGGAGTGCACTAATCCCCCGCTAATCCGGAGTAGCTGGGGGAGGGGAAGGGGCCACGCGCATTAGGGAAGCAAACCGTAGGGCTGAGACACACAGACACTCCCTGTGCCAGCTCCATCCGCGCAGTTAGAGAGGAGTGCACTAATCCCCCGCTAATCCGGAGTAGCTGGGGGAGGGGAAGGGGCCACGCGCATTAGGGAAGCAAACCGTAGGGCTGAGACACACAGACACTCCCTGTGCCAGCTCCATCCGCGCAGTTAGAGAGGAGTGCACTAATCCCCCGCTAATCCGGAGTAGCTGGGGGAGGGGAAGGGGCCACGCGCATTAGGGAAGCAAACCGTAGGGCTGAGACACACAGACACTCCCTGTGCCAGCTCCATCCGCGCAGTTAGAGAGGAGTGCACTAATCCCCCGCTAATCCGGAGTAGCTGGGGGAGGGGAAGGGGCCACGCGCATTAGGGAAGCAAACCGTAGGGCTGAGACACACAGACACTCCCTGTGCCAGCTCCATCCGCGCAGTTAGAGAGGAGTGCACTAATCCCCCGCTAATCCGGAGTAGCTGGGGGAGGGGAAGGGGCCACGCGCATTAGGGAAGCAAACCGTAGGGCTGAGACACACAGACACTCCCTGTGCCAGCTCCATCCGCGCAGTTAGAGAGGAGTGCACTAATCCCCCGCTAATCCGGAGTAGCTGGGGGAGGGGAAGGGGCCACGCGCATTAGGGAAGCAAACCGTAGGGCTGAGACACACAGACACTCCCTGTGCCAGCTCCATCCGCGCAGTTAGAGAGGAGTGCACTAATCCCCCGCTAATCCGGAGTAGCTGGGGGAGGGGAAGGGGCCACGCGCATTAGGGAAGCAAACCGTAGGGCTGAGACACACAGACACTCCCTGTGCCAGCTCCATCCGCGCAGTTAGAGAGGAGTGCACTAATCCCCCGCTAATCCGGAGTAGCTGGGGGAGGGGAAGGGGCCACGCGCATTAGGGAAGCAAACCGTAGGGCTGAGACACACAGACACTCCCTGTGCCAGCTCCATCCGCGCAGTTAGAGAGGAGTGCACTAATCCCCCGCTAATCCGGAGTAGCTGGGGGAGGGGAAGGGGCCACGCGCATTAGGGAAGCAAACCGTAGGGCTGAGACACACAGACACTCCCTGTGCCAGCTCCATCCGCGCAGTTAGAGAGGAGTGCACTAATCCCCCGCTAATCCGGAGTAGCTGGGGGAGGGGAAGGGGCCACGCGCATTAGGGAAGCAAACCGTAGGGCTGAGACACACAGACACTCCCTGTGCCAGCTCCATCCGCGCAGTTAGAGAGGAGTGCACTAATCCCCCGCTAATCCGGAGTAGCTGGGGGAGGGGAAGGGGCCACGCGCATTAGGGAAGCAAACCGTAGGGCTGAGACACACAGACACTCCCTGTGCCAGCTCCATCCGCGCAGTTAGAGAGGAGTGCACTAATCCCCCGCTAATCCGGAGTAGCTGGGGGAGGGGAAGGGGCCACGCGCATTAGGGAAGCAAACCGTAGGGCTGAGACACACAGACACTCCCTGTGCCAGCTCCATCCGCGCAGTTAGAGAGGAGTGCACTAATCCCCCGCTAATCCGGAGTAGCTGGGGGAGGGGAAGGGGCCACGCGCATTAGGGAAGCAAACCGTAGGGCTGAGACACACAGACACTCCCTGTGCCAGCTCCATCCGCGCAGTTAGAGAGGAGTGCACTAATCCCCCGCTAATCCGGAGTAGCTGGGGGAGGGGAAGGGGCCACGCGCATTAGGGAAGCAAACCGTAGGGCTGAGACACACAGACACTCCCTGTGCCAGCTCCATCCGCGCAGTTAGAGAGGAGTGCACTAATCCCCCGCTAATCCGGAGTAGCTGGGGGAGGGGAAGGGGCCACGCGCATTAGGGAAGCAAACCGTAGGGCTGAGACACACAGACACTCCCTGTGCCAGCTCCATCCGCGCAGTTAGAGAGGAGTGCACTAATCCCCCGCTAATCCGGAGTAGCTGGGGGAGGGGAAGGGGCCACGCGCATTAGGGAAGCAAACCGTAGGGCTGAGACACACAGACACTCCCTGTGCCAGCTCCATCCGCGCAGTTAGAGAGGAGTGCACTAATCCCCCGCTAATCCGGAGTAGCTGGGGGAGGGGAAGGGGCCACGCGCATTAGGGAAGCAAACCGTAGGGCTGAGACACACAGACACTCCCTGTGCCAGCTCCATCCGCGCAGTTAGAGAGGAGTGCACTAATCCCCCGCTAATCCGGAGTAGCTGGGGGAGGGGAAGGGGCCACGCGCATTAGGGAAGCAAACCGTAGGGCTGAGACACACAGACACTCCCTGTGCCAGCTCCATCCGCGCAGTTAGAGAGGAGTGCACTAAACCCCCGCTGATCCGGAGTAACTGGCGGAGGGGGAAGGGCCATCCGCATTAGGGAAGCAAACCGTAGGCCTGAGACACACAAAACTAGAACAAATAAACGGGAAATGTAATGATAAGTTGCGCCAATGGAAATAAGCAACAAAATATCACAGCAGAGCCTTTATTTAGAAACTACAAAAAGACAATACATGTATGCACCGACAGAAGGCTCAGAAGCTGTACTTGTTTCTGAATGTGATGATGCAGGTCTGAAGAGACAAGTGGCTGTCTAAATGCCACCTGTCTTTTAATGTATTGTCACGTGTGGGATGGTACGCGTGACGAAATGTCGGGTTCTAGTTCGTATCATTGGATTCATTAGCACTTTGGTTAAGTGTTCTCTTAATTACAGTCAATACACACTTCATAATTTGCTGCTACACACACACACACACACACTCACACTAGTCCTCTCCTGCTGATGGATCTCAGCACAGAAACTATAACATTGCCCTAAATCCCACTGCACTCTAGCACACATACAATGTATGTAATGTCTTCAAATGACACGCAAAATCTCCACACGACTGTCACTTAACACCGAAATCTGTTCTGTGTGGAATGTCGTTATATAGCCTTCGCACCGTCCACACAGAAACCCCAGTTCGATTGTTGTGGAGGAGTGTTTACCGCGAAGATGCATAGTAACGGTCGCGGCACCGACTCCGTAGAAAGGCAGTCACGTGACAGTTACAACGCTAGTCGCCTGGCGCTGACTGTTGTCTAGCAACGAACTATAAACATTCATCCTGTTGTTGAGTGCGCTTGCGCGACTGAAGGTTATTTACAAGTCGTTGCCTAGAAGCTCTGTCCACCCACGTTACATTATGTACCCAACTGTGAACAGCGCTGTTCATATTGCGATCCAGTGTAACTGTAACCGGAGTAGCGAGGATAATATTAAAAGTGATCATGAAGAAACTACGGTGTGGTCTGCATGCAACTGACTCAGAATACGGACCAGTGGCAGACCTTTGTGGACAAAGTATAGCCTGTAGTCAGCTCTGGACCGAAGATTAATAATAATAATAATTTTTCGTAACAAATAGTTGTCATTGATAAACGTAGAGAATGCCTGATACCTTGGCTCGAATGCCGCCACTGATGCGGACATGAAAAGGAAACCGGTCCTAAGCCAGTGGCGGATTCAGAGCCTCAGAAAGCTAGTTTGCGTGTTGCTGTCGCAACAGACAGCTCCTGCCTCCATTCCGTAGCGCTTAAAACATGAATGCCGCGTCATGTCGACAGCTCACTGAATCCGCCGCTGACATGACGCGGCAACGTAGCAGTGGTCTCGGCAGGCCGCCCTACAGGGGGTTCAGCATTTTGGGTTACGCTCGCGGGTGGTACTCGGCTTGCCCGATCGTAGTGAACTCGCGGTCTACTGCAGTCCCTGAGCACCGGGATCGTGGGTTCCACTCCCATTCGGGGAAAATGGATGTCTGCCTGCAGGTCTACACTACTCTGTTGCCGCGTGTACACTGCGGAGCCGGAGAAACTGCCATTTGCTAGGTAACGGCTGTGTAACACGCTACAATGGAGTAAATGCTTGAAGCGGTGACACACCAACCCACACTCTGACCGCTGGCTCCAGGGCTGGACTGACTTCAGCTGTCAAATCTCG